CCGTGCTCCGAAAGTAATTGTCATGACACATTTGCTTAAAGGACCAGGAACACTTTCAGCTTTTCAAATTCGAACTAAAAGCTCCCGGGTTTTCTTCTTATTCATAAACAACTATATCAGTGCATGTTAGCACACACCTACATCCCGTTTTTCTCAGTTTACGACTTACGTCAGCCTTCAGGAACAAACAAACTGTGAACAGCAATTATATCTATCCTAAAACTTCTATAACCCCTTACAACCTCCCCCAGTCTCCCCTCTCTCTCCCTCCCTCCCCCCTCTCTATCTTTCTCTCTCTCTCTCTCTCTCTCTCTCTCTCACTCACTCTCTCTCACTCTCTCTCTCTCACTCTCTCTCTATCTCTCTCTCGGTATTCCTCAGACACCAGCTTATATTATTATTATTATCCATGACGCTTTATATCTCAAGCAGAAACGCTTTTTACGTTATTTTTTTTCTTACCTGGGTGTTTTGTCTGATTTAGATTTAATGATCAAAAACTTTATTTTCATATCCTTAAAAAAATAGTTTCAAAGAGGGAACGCTCCTCTCGCCGGTAACATTCTATATCAAATATTATAACGCAGCAAGCAAGCGTACGTCAAACAGTCATGCTAAAACATTTTTGTAAAACTAACAAAAACCCTCTGTCATGTAGACCCAATGCGGTGACAAACTGTGTTTGCTGATTGCGTGTAGTGTTAGTACAGGCAGATGCTTAGGGCACGAACAATAGGTATTTAGTGGTTGCAACTGCCTTTTACTTTAGCTGAGCTGAGCAGTTTTTCTTTTTCTTTTTTTTATTTGGCGGTTGATTGTACACATCCCCCCCCCCCTCCACCCCTAATGGCATAACTGATATCATTTTGGCTGTGGGCTGCTCCGATTCTTTTTTAATGTAAGTATTTCACTAACAAATTAAAAAAGTTTAGATCATTTAGGAGGCGGGATGCTTCGACCCTGTCTGTAAGGGTCAACTTGGGCAGAAAGAAATACAGTATGTACAGCTGTCCGGCAAAAATACGGAAATACTTAGCAAATTAGACTGCACGAAAACCTAACTCTCGTCTTTTGCATAAAACTGCAAAGAGTATAACCATTACCCCACAAACATAGGTCATTTTTGGTGGAAGGAAGGGAAGGAGGCTGCAATGTTTGTTTCTTTTTCTTTGTTTGATTTTATTTTTAAATGATGTAGATGTTTTGCGCTTCTATCAAATAACCTGGATTTTCTAATAATAGCAAGCTTCAACCTTGCCTGTTAGGGCCCACCCGGGCTGAGAGTCCTGCATGAAGGCCGATGAGGCACTCGGTGAAAATTCTCTCCCCACGGGAATCAAACTCAGGCCTTCTGCGTGCTATCCACTATACAACAAACACCGGGAGGCTGCAGTGGGAGGAGTGGACAAAGAATCTCGTTTCTGTCCCGCGGTTAGCCCTTATTGGTGGCTGGCTGTTTGCTATTTAATACACATTTTTACATGGTTCTCAGCCAGTTGTCAATGCTCGTGGGTGGGAGGCGACCACTCCTGCGTCAGTCCAGTAGACGGCGGGCGTTGTCATTTCTCAAGAGGTGCCCAGGTTCAAGTGCCCACAGCGAAGCTTTTCATCTTTAATTGAGAAAGCAATTTTATTTGATGTGACGGTGCAGTTCTTTGAAGCGTTTACTCTAATTGACCGTGCAAGAAAACACGACATGCTTTTATTGAAAGTTTCTAATTGAAGTTCCATGTTCCAAATCGGAGTCTCCAAGTCAAGACAAGATCAACACTTTAGACATGTGGCGTTGTGCGTGATCCCAAGTGTCATGGGGGTCGATAGGTACAGTAAATCTTGCCACCATTTGAATCTTTACTACACATGCACGAAGCGCACGCTAATGACACTAGATATGCTCTCTCTCTCTCTCTCTCTCTCTCTCTCTCTCTCTCTCTCTCTCTCCTTCCCTCTCACTCTGCGTGTCTGTGTGTGCGGGTGTATGCTGAGAACAGGGCTATAAAAGCTTAACTGTGACTACATTTCCTTCGCGACATACTTTCCTAAGTCATTATTGCTTTATTGTCCTCCTCGCCATTATCAGCTCATCTGTTGTCTACACCCCCCCCCCCCCCCGCTTAACTAAAAAGACCACCTGCCTCCATATTCTATTTCCTCGTCTTCCTCTTCCATCTCTTAATAAATTTCAGCACAAACACAATATAGATTCCACTTCTCTGTCTTCATCCTTAAGCCCCCCTTCATCGTCACAAAAAAATGGTGCAATGACTTTAAAGATTGAGTTCTCTGTGTTGTTTTCCTTTTGTTTCTCTCTTCTCTCTTCTCTTCCTCGCTACTAAAACTTGACCTTCAGGCTGTGAAATTAATTTTACACAGATGTCTAAATAACAAAACAACATAAAAAAATGAGAAGTGTCTGTTGCTAAAAATAAACGTCCCAGTATCTGGCGGTTGACAGAATTTCGCTGCAAAAATACCAGGTGCATGAGTGGGTCAGTTTGTCTTGGCGTGGGGCGTTTCCTCCCACTTGAGCACACTGATCTTCCAATCCCCGTCTTCCTTTTTGTCTTTCTTTCCTGGCCCGACAAGATCTCGTTTTAGTAGCGGATAAGGCAGAGGAAATCCCCTCTCTATCCCGTTTGTCTTTCACTGTTTCTGAGCAAAGTTATCCGTTCTGACCCCCACCCCCACCCCCATCCCTACCTCACCGAACATTATAATCG